ACGCTTTTAGAAGAGTTTAAGAAATTTCACACAAAAGTATTAGATCCAATACGCAGATTTCTTTCAACTTTTCAGCAATTTCTCCTCACCGGAAGTGGTACTCTATTTCCGGCTGAACACGATAACCTGTGTTATGTTACAACCTAGTGACTGGAATCGTACGTATGAGTTACTATACTTGGGGGTTGCTGTTTTTTTTCCAGCCATTTCCAATATAAGTAAATGGTAAATTACTCTGTTTCCGGTTCTTGATTACAAATAACTTGAGCAGTGTTTCAGTTAGGTGGACATAATTTCAAAGTACAAGATACGTAGGTTTTCCCAACTTTTTAGCGATTGCCGGTGTCAGACCCCCCCCCCCCGGAGGGTTGTTTAAATTAATCTTTGACCCCCACCTGCTTCTGTCGTCACCAACCCCCACTGTATGTTGCCGAAATCGACCCCTGACCCCCCCCCCCCTACGACTTTAGTTACCCCCTGTCGCTTGTGTTGAAACTGAACTGTTTAGAACTGGTTCATGAAGCAGACAATATTCCTGCTCCTGTGTGTTTGACAGACTAAAAGCAGACAATATATCTGCTCCTGTGTGTGTTGACAAACAATATTTCTGCTCCTGCGTGTGTTGACAGACTAGCTATACTTCGACTCACACTTGCTTTTAATAGCTTTAATTCTCCACTCTACATTCAGGAACGGTAATCTAGTAGCCGACAAGATCTCAGTCTTACTGCTCCATAAATATTTACTAATGTGATTAAAGATTTTAATATTAAGCTGGGAGTCCTACATGTGAATAATTCATTCGTTCATCCCATCCCAGACAACTGTGTCGTATCTCTAGCACTCCGCTACTGGATGATTGACACCATTAGCATATATACACAATGGAACTACTGGATTATACGTGGTTTGGATAGTTCGGTTGTGGCCCTGTATTGATGAGCGCTCTTTCTTTGGAGTTTCTGGAGAAAATGGGACAAACAAAACGTTCGTTTTTCCCTTATCGGATTAGGACCTGAATGTTGGTTGTTGAGGACATGTAGGCGAGACAGTGTAGTGATGGTCTTGGTGTTGTTTATTGTGTATGTGCTCGTGCTGTTGTTTATGTTGTATGTTGTTTATTGTCGTGCTGTTGTTAATGTTGTATGTTGTATGTGGTTGTGCTGTTGTTTATGTTGTATGTTGTATATGCTCGGGAGGTTGTTTGAGGAAATGTTTTTTGGTTTGACAATATATAAACTTGTCTGTATGCAGTTTCTGATCTTGGCATGTAATGAACGAAACTTTAGAACAGGCGAATCTCATACATTTTCATTCTATCACGTTTTCACACTCACACACTCATACTCTCACACACTCACTCTCATACCCTCAAACTCACACACTCACACTTTCACACTCATACTCTCGTATACCCACACTCACACTCATACTCTCACACACTCACACTTTCACACTCATACTCTCACACACTCACACACTCACACTTTCACACTCATACTCTCGTATACCCACACTCACACTCATACTCTCACACACTCACACTTTCACACTCATACTCTCACACACTCACACACTCACACTTTCACACCCATACTCTCGTATACCCACACTCACACTCATACTCTCACACACTCACACTTTCACACTCATACTCTCACACACTCACACACTCACACTTTCACACCCATATTCTCACACACTCACACTTTCACACCCATACTCCCACAAACGTAATGGTTTTATTTCCTATACATTTTTGCTTCTACCACTTAATATATAGTTGTGTTTTAAAACCATTTAAGTTTAAACCTCCATTAATGTCCGTGTCTTTATAACCTACCACTCACGCCGATAACAGGTCTTAAACCGCAGGTAACATCATCGTGAGCAGAAATATGGTGCTGATGTTCTGCGTGAGCGCTACATCTGTACACGTTAGCGCTAATTATTGCTTCTTAATGAGATGACATGCTTTGTCAAAGCTAATTTTTTCCTCAATAAAACTGTCTCACGTCATTATGCGTTAAAAACACAAAGTTTACTTTAATTAGAAAATGTAATAAATTAACGATAATTGCATTGAAAAAAGAAACAATTGCTAGAGTTAAGTCTTGATGGATTACGCTGGCATCCATTTGTCTGAAGAATCGCGTTGTGTGGCCAGATACATCGCGGCAAATGCAGGCCAAGACAACGCCAATGAAACAATAACCAGAACAATGGTTCACCTAAAAATACTTGGGTTTCAACAATACATTTTTTATAGAGAAGAAAACTAAAAACTCTCTAAAACAGGAGGTACGGCAGTTTCCGATAGTAAAACTGAAAAGATATTTATAGCAACTTTTTTCGGAGCCGATATTTCGCAGGAGATATTGATCGCATCGAACACAAGAAACGTTTAAACAATCATTTCGTTCTGCTCGTCTTCTGTTGGTGCCTCGGTGACAATCAGCTAATTAAAGTCGTGATTTGTTCCGTGGCTTTTGTCTGTGTCTGCTTCTGTGTGGCTTATTCATGACTTCACATGTCTGGTGTCTGCCTAAAAAGGATTGCATTTTTTTTTTTACTTTTTAAAAAAAAAGCTTATGTCTGACTAAAGGGGTCTGGTCTGTGTCATGTGACTAGTTTGCAGTAAATCTGAAGCCTAGAAAATATAAACTTTAGTTAACTCCTGAAAAAAATGATTGCGTGATTTTAAATTGGCCCATTTAAGCTACAAAACTATGATGGATAGCTATAGAGGTCTCACTAAAGTGTCAACTTTACTCCTAAATCTATAACATTACTTTTTTTATAATAACTGTTTATTACTTTCTTCTTTATTTGAAAATATAAATTCAAAGCTGAGCGTAGATTTCTAAATTTTAAATTAAAATGTAACTTTTAAAAAGCCAAAAAAAAACGCGTTTGATTGTTGTTGTTTTTGTTTGTTTTTTGCTAAACAGTGAAGCAATCAAAATCAGCCGGAAACTGACATCTAAACCGGTCAAAAACCAAAAACAGCCGGAAAGTGACAGACAAATTTTCTTTGGGAGACTTTCCACGCCCTTGAACTGTTATATAAGTGTTACATAAAGGTCAGTTGTCATTTGTAAGTGTTACATAAAGGTCAGTTGTCATTTGTAAGTGTTACATAAAGGTCAGTTGTCATTTGTAAGTGTTACATAAAGGTCAGTTGTCATTTGTAAGTGTTACGTTTTGTTAAAGGTTGAAATAATCTATTGTACATGACACCTTGATAAGTATGGCAACTAATTAATCACTTGGTAATTAACATTGACAAGTGAAGCTATTGTGTGGTTAACATCGATATTCTTACCTTGGGTCAACTTAGCGAGCTCTACATAAGCTAGACACCTCTGACCACGGAGTCCGTCACAAAATACATCAACACTGAATCTTATGATAAAATACACCCACCTTCGACTCGCTTAGTGTTACAAGGAAATATAAATATAAGAATGTGTAGAGAGTGTTTTACAAATGGATGTTGAAATCTGATGGCAAAGAAGTCTCTACCTAAAGAATTTGTTTTTATACTTAAACTCTTTCCAATTAATATTATGTTTTTCTTGAATTTAAAAAAAAAATTATTCTTATACTAATTTCTACTCTTGTGCATGGTGTTTGTGAGGAGCGATTGACCATCAAAATTTGTGCTTGTTGAATATGGTTCAATTTAGTAGTGTGCTGAAACCATTTCAGTCACTGGGCTATTATTATTGTTTTTTAAGCTACTCATTTTATAAAGTACAAATGTAAAAGGAAAAATGGATTCATATTAAATTAAAACACATAATCAATCAGGCTGACATATTGGAGGTATAGATCTGCTATCATCGAACAGCTCAAGTTGACAGGTGTGCAGATCTGCTGATCAGTCGACAAACATGGCGGCTGGTAACGTGGCGATATTCCTGCAGCTGTCCAGCCAGGGTCAGATGCTGGGATACGTCCACCCCAGGGGCCATGCCGGGGGGGGGGGGTGGGGGTGGCTGCCTCTGTCCAGGCCTGGGTGAATACAACAGGTTAGGCTTAGGGTAAGATATCGCTAGATGGGAACAGTGTAAGTTACCTGACACGGTTGTCACGTGATAAGGAAATATTGGAGTGAATGCCAAACCTGGTTATTTTATAATGCAAAACCTAGTTATTTTATCAATGATTTCTCGCGCTGTCATTCTGGAAAATAATATGCATGCACACACACACACACACACACACATATATATATATATATATATATATATATATATATATATATATATATATATATATATATATATATATATATATTAATGTGTATGTGAGTGTGAGATTTCTTTCTGAGGTTAGCGAAGGGTTCAGTGCTGGGGTTGGTACTGGGTTCAATGCTGGAGTCAGGACTGGGTTCAGTACATGAGTCAGGACTGAGCTCAGTTCAGGGGTCGGTACTGGGTTCAGTTCTGGGGTCGGTACTGGGTTCAGTACAGGAGTCAGGACTGAGCTCAGTTCAGGGGTCAGTACTGGGTTCAGTTCTGGGTTCAGTGCTGGGGTCACTACTGCCAAGATTATTCATTAGATTAAACACTTCCCTATACATTTATGCGACCAATCGATAGCCTACTAAATCACGTATTGCGTGCTAGTGTCAAACCATTACAAGCCATTGATCATCTGCTGCCAGAGACAAGTGCCGGTATCAAACCGCCCCTGGCCCATCTCACGGAGGTAGGACGCAAACTTCTTGTGTTTATACGTGTTTTAGATGGCCTTGGTAGATGTAAACTACGTCATGATTTACTGTATGACTCTCAAATCAATATTTTTTATGAAGTTCAGTATTTAAAACGTATCTCATTCTGTTCAATTACAAAATTTCAAAACGTGTATCTAACATCCTGTCTTTTTTTTTCATCGTTTCTGTATCGTGTAGAAGTATCTTGTCTTGTATTTAGTGCCAGAATTTTGGTCGTGTCTGTCTGTGGCTTGATGGAAAGCTTAGCACAGATTACATGGAACCTGACAACTTGATGACCAGCACTTGGGTCTACTCCCTTAGCGTCCAGCCTAGCTTTGTCCAGCTCCCAGCCCAGCTTTGTCCAGCTCCCAGCCTAGCTTTGTCCAGCTCCCAGCCCAGGTTTGTCCAGCTCCCAGCCCAGTTTTGTCCAGCTCCCAGCCCAGTTTTGTCCAGCTCCCAGCCAGCTTTGTCCAGCTCCCAGCCTAGCTTTGTCCAGCTCCCATCCTAGCTTTGTCCAGCTCCCAGCCCAGTTTTGTCCAGCTCCCAGCCAGCTTTGTCCAGCTCCCAGCCTAGCTTTGTCCAGCTCCCAGCCTAGCTTTGTCCAGCTCCCAGCCCAGTTTTGTCCAGCTCCCAGCCAGCTTTGTCCAGTTCCCAACCCAGCTTTGTCCAGTTCCCAACCCAGCTTTGTCCAGCTCCCAGCCTAGCTTTGTCCAGCTCCCAGCCTAGCTTTGTCCAGCTCCCAGCCCAGTTTTGTCCAGCTCCCAGCCAGCTTTGTCCAGTTCCCAACCCAGCTTTGTCCAGTTCCCAACCCAGCTTTGTCCAGCTCCCAGCCCAGCTTTGTCCAGCTCCCAGCCCAGCTTTGTCCAGCTCCCAGCCCAGTTTTGTCCAGCTCCCAGCCTAGCTTTGTCCAGCTCCCAGCCCAGTTTTGTCCAGCTCCCAGCCCAGTTTTGTCCAGCTCCCAGCCTAGCTTTGTCCAGCTCCCAGCCCAGTTTTGTCCAGCTCCCAGCCTAGCTTTGTCCAGCTCCCAGCCTAGCTTTGTCCAGCTCCCAGCCCAGTTTTGTCCAGCTCCCAGCCAGCTTTGTCCAGTTCCCAACCCAGCTTTGTCCAGTTCCCAACCCAGCTTTGTCCAGCTCCCAGCCCAGCTTTGTCCAGCTCCCAGCCCAGCTTTGTCCAGCTCCCAGCCCAGTTTTGTCCAGCTCCCAGCCTAGCTTTGTCCAGCTCCCAGCCCAGTTTTGTCCAGCTCCCAGCCCAGTTTTGTCCAGCTCCCAGCCTAGCTTTGTCCAGCTCCCAGCCCAGTTTTGTCCAGCTCCCAGCCTAGCTTTGTCCAGCTCCCACCCTAGCTTTGTCCAGCTCCCAGCCCAGTTTTGTCCAGCTCCCAGCCTAGCTTTGTCCAGCTCCCATCCCAGTTTTGTCCAGCTCCCAGCCCAGTTTTGTCCAGCTCCCAGCCCAGCTTTGTCCAGCTCCCAGCCCAGTTTTGTCCAGCTCCCAGCCAGCTTTGTCCAGCTCCCAGCCCAGTTTTGTCCAGCTCCCAGCCCAGTTTTGTCCAGCTCCCAGCCCAGTTTTGTCCAGCTCCCAGCCCAGCTTGCATGGCTTACTCCGGCATGGTTCTGGACTTGTGGCCGTCTATGTGTGATTTGTAATTGACTCAGTTTGACAGCGAGGTTGTGCTGTCTTACAATCAAGGAGGTGTAGAGTTCAAGCCTTGCTGACAATCCAGGAGGTGTAGAGTTCAGGCCCTGCTGTTTGTTTTATCTTTTTTGTGGAATTATTGGACCTTTCTTTCTATTTTGGCGTGTAACTTATGACTAGCAGGTTCGCTACACGGATGGTTTTTGGATGGACAAACACTATGGACGCTAATCCAGAAAGAAAAGCAGGCAAAAATCAAAGTGTACTGGCCGAATAGCGCATAACATGTTGACACGAATGACTCACTTGTGTTGGAGGAAATCCGTCCAACATTACAATTAAGAACGAAGAAGAAGAAGAAGAAGCTACACAGTCATGAATCTGAACAATTGAATATTGACTCTATTTAGTGAGCAGGACAGAGTTCCCATTATAACACACCCATACCGTAATCAAACAACGCAGAAGTTTATTATGAATCACGCTGTTAGAGATAAGTGTTACATTAATGGTTTATTGGCGTTATTGTAGGAATACTCGCCACAGTACAGTACACGATCTAGGCTGCCAACTGAGATCGGCCATTTCGTCCTGGTCACAATGTAGTCGTTCATTTCGTCCTGGTCACAATGTAGTCGGTCATTTCGTCCTGGTCACAATGTAGTCGTTCATTTCGTCCTGGTCACAATGTAGTCGGTCATTTCGTCCTGATCACAATGTCGTCGGTCATTTCGTCCTGGTCACAATGTAGTCGGTCATTTCGTCCTGGTCACAATGTCGTCGGTCATTTCGTCCTGGTCACAATGTAGTCGGTCATTTCGTCCTGGTCACAATGTAGTCGGTCATTTCGTCCTGGTCACAATGTAGTCGGTCATTTCGTCCTGGTCACAATGTAGTCGGTCATTTCGTCCTGGTCACAATGTAGTCGGTCATTTCGTCCTGGTCACAATGTAGTCGGTCATTTCGTCCTGGTCACAATGTCGTCGGTCATTTCGTCCTGGTCACAATGTAGTCGGTCATTTCGTCCTGGTCACAATGTAGTCGGTCATTTCGTCCTGGTCACAATGTAGTCGGTCATTTCGTCCTGGTCACAATGTAGTCGGTCATTTCGTTCTGGTCACAATGTCGTCGGTCATTTCGTCCTGGTCACAATGTAGTCGGTCATTTCGTCCTGGTCACAATGTAGTCGGTCATTTCGTCCTGGTCACAATGTAGTCGGTCATTTCGTCCTGGTCACAATGTAGTCGGCCATTTCGTCCTGGTCACAATGTAGTCGGTCATTTCGTCCTGGTCACAATGTAGTCGGTCATTTCGTCCTGGTCACAATGTAGTCGGTCATTTCGTCCTGGTCACAATGTAGTCGGTCATTTCGTCCTGGTCACAATGTAGTCGGTCATTTCGTCCTGGTCACAATGTCGTCGGCCATTTCTCAAGAATGGTTGAATACATTATCGATATCAAGAAACGGTATTTGTTTAATTTTAATAGGACAGTTTGACTTCTTTAAGGTTTAGAAAATCATAATGTATGGGCGGTAATGCTGCTTAAATGATCAAAGTCAACACTAAATCTAGATTTGACGAAAATATTCCGCTAGTAAATAAACATACGACACGAGGTAACAGGTTGAGTTAATGAAATCTTTTTGATGTCTAGTCAGACGAAAGGGCAGAGGTCATCTGTTAAATAGAGAAACCTAGGGGCGTCACAGACAGAAGACACGAGTCCAACGTCACAGACAGGAGGGAAGCGTCACAGCCAGGAGTCAAGCTTCATACACAGGAGTCATGAGTGTATACTGTTCTATATCCTACAAATAATGCGCATACGTGTGTGGACCTTTCAGACAATACAAGATTTCACCCCGCTCAACAAACCGTCAAGAAAAAGATGAAGAAAAAATGTTTAGTTGGAAGATATCAAATCAAAACAAAGCTTAATGTAACTGTTGCTTGTTTTAAACTGGGGATCGATAATTTATTTTTATTTGTTTATTGATGATAATATCGTTCTATCTCTTGGTGATTATATCGATCTATAGTATCTCTTCTATCCGTAAAAAATCAAAAGCTGATGTGATTGAGCGTTCACGATTATAATTCCTGAAATAGAACTTGATGCTAATGTTAATTAAATATCAATATGGACGTGTAATTAAATATTCTGGGAGATAGGGGTGGCGGGGTAGGGCCAGGGATTTGGGGGTGGGGGTGAGAATCAGCTGTAAAGATGAGCGTGTTTCCTGAATTAATATTCAGATAATATATACTGTCTGAATATCTGTCTTAGAGAGGACTGCTGTATTAAATTCTATCTTATGAATAGATGCTGTCTGACTATCTCTTGGGAGTAGATCCTTTATAGATGTCTGTCTTTGAAGAAGAGCTGTATAAACATATGTCTGAGGAATTGATGCTGTCTAAACGTCTGTCTTTGAATAGATGCCTTATAAGCATATGTCTGAGGAATGGATCCTGTCTAAATATCTATACGATTTTTTTTGTCCTAGGAAGTAAACGGCCTTGACCGTGAGACCCGAGCCCCAGCCATCAGACCTGTAGAGATCTGTGACAATCGATGCTAGCGACAAATGACCAGGGTACACAGGAATCACACAGAGGACTGGAGATGTGAAATGGATCTCGTCTAGAGCTATTTCACACAAACACAGCCAAATACAGGAATCACACAGAGGACTGGAGATGTGAAATGGATCTCGTCTAGAGCTATTTCACACAAACACAGCCAAATACAGGAATAACACAGAGGACTGGAGATGTGAAATGGATCTCGTCTAGAGCTATTTCACACAAACACAGCCAAATACAGGAATCACACAGAGGACTGGAGATGTGAAATGGATCTCGTCTAGAGCTATTTCACACAAACACAGCCAAATACAGGAATCACACAGAGGACTGGAGATGTGAAATGGATCTCGTCTAGAGCTATTTCACACAAACACAGCCAAATACAGGAATCACACAGAGGACTGGAGATGTGAAATGGATCTCGTCTAGAGCTATTTCACACAAACACAGCCAAATACCAGCTCTCTATTTGCAAACCAGTTGTGATTGGATGGTCTGATCACGTGGTCAGCTAGATGACTTGGGGTAACATAGATCGATACCCGGGACGGTCAAATAATTCCCGTCATGCATTTCGGAGAACTGGTCAGATCTATTGATTATATTGGGACATTTTCTTTTCATTTGCTAACGTACAACCATATACGACTTTGTTCAGGCTTGTATGGCACTAGCCTCTCAGCAGTCTGGTAGGCTCAACTACAGCATTCATTAAGGGCACATCAAACCTATTTGCTACTGCTGATTGGTGTGTTTTACTTGGGTAAATCAAAAAGCCGAGTGGTTTTGTGTATGAAAAATATTTAGCTTTAAAACAACTGCAAGTCGTAGAAAATAAAAATTAAGGCAAGTTGAACAAAAAATGTGGTCCATTTTTTATAAGATAAAAACAATCCGCGCAGACGTAATTTTTAATTACTTGAATCTTTATTATTCCCCCCCCCCCCCTACATATTTACAGCTGACACATAAATCTCTCACACACTCAAATCCTTCAAGCTGGCTCAGCTCTCTCTCTTTACACACAACTTACTCTTTACACACACACAAAACTCTGTTTACACACACACAACTCTCTCTTTACACACACAGCTCTCTCTTTACACACACACACACAGCTCTCTCTTTACACACAACTTACTCTTTACACACACACACAAAACTCTGTTTACACACACACAACTCTCTCTTTACACACACAGCTCTCTCTTTACACACACACACAGCTCTCTCTTTACACACACACACACACACAACTCTCTCATTACACACACACACACAACTTTATCTTTACACACATTCAACTCTCTCTTTACACTCAACTCTCTCTTTACACACACATACAACTCTCTCTTTACACTCACACTCAACTCCTTCTTTACGCTCAGCTCTCTTTACACACGCACACACACACACTCAACTGTCTCTTTACACTCAACTCTCTGTTTACACACACACTCAACTCTCTGTTTACACACACACACACAACTTTATCTTTACACACATTCAACTCTCTCTTTACACTCAACTCTGTTTACACACACACACACACACAACTCTCTCTGTACTCACGTGCAGCTTACACACAAATAAACACACATATAATTCTCCTCGACATTCACACACTCCCAACTAAAATCCTCAATGAAACAATCAAAACACACAACACATAACACGCATACACATAAAACTTTCTCACAACAAACAGAACCACTTACCCACACCCATTTCACCCCCACACATCTCCCCACACTCGCCATGAAATAACATTAAAATCCTGCAGATCAAGTTGGAGCAGACGATTGGCTCCAGAGCTTAGACGAACAGGCTCAATGTTTTCTGCCAGTCGTCTGCTATCTGCTGAGACCGTTCGATTCACCTTATCAATATCATGTACGGCGCATGTCTCGAGTGCATCCAAGATGGAGGCAGACATAAATAGAGCGGGAATTTCCGTTGGGCCAAAAATATTTTATCCTTCGCACATT